GTAAAAGTACTTTTACTTTCACAATTATTGTGAGCCGTTTTATGACTTTTTACTTAAGTACTTTTCTTAACATAGAAATACATTTTTACCAACGTCTGTTTTGGGATTTTTACTTTTATTTGAATGAATGAATTTATTTATTAGGACCTTGTGCAATTAAAACATAAACATAAAAACATTTGACGCATTGCACCAGATTTAGCCTAAGGCTAATTTACATCTGTAGTCCTCCAGATAATAAAAACAAAACAACATCCAACAATAATAAAAATAAGAAAAGAAAATAACATAAAAATAAAACATACATTTAGTTATTTATTTCAAATACTTTATATACCTCTGCCCTTTTGTGTGTTTTATTCAGTTTGTCCATGTACAATCTAGGGTTGGGCAAAATTGTATCGTGTGTAATTAATAGTCAGAAAAACTTGAATCGATTTATTTTTTGGCACTTGACGATTAATGCGATTAATTCCATCAGTCCACTTGGTGCTCCTCTCCTCTTCAAATATGACTAACATTTACAAACAAAGTTCTGTAATTAATTAATCATAACTCCGGTTTTACTTGGTTTTTCAACACAATTGAAAAATTAATGTATATCCTGAATTCTGTACTTTTGAAACAATTTGGAACAGATTTTTACGGAGAGCATTTCTTTCCCATTAGTGATTTAAATTGGTCACGTGACTAGGATATGAGGTCGTCCAGAGATCTCAGGGGATTAATTATCATATTAATTGTTATCGGCAAAATACGACAGTTAATCATGATAAATTTTTTGGCCAAARTCACCCAACCTTAGTACAATCTCAACGAGACATCATCAAACTGACTACGTAAAGTAGAAACACTTAATAGCTGCTAACTACGTTAGAGCACAAATCAAATAAGTTTCGACAAATGTTAGTTGGCACCAGCAGTTTGTGATGCCCGACTTGAATGAGAATCTTTTGTTTCTTTGTTTTGAAGGCTTTGGAACTCGCGGAGAGCTTKTCAACTGAAGACATTCGCCATATCTGCAAATCTTTGGCAGTTCAGAATCGCAGAAGTGTCTCGCTGCTCAAAGCTATGKCCTACCACCTCCTCCAGAAGCCATCAGTGGAGTTCACCACCCCAATAATAATGGACTTGGCCTTCGCTTATGGTAGTCTCTCAAGATTTAAGTTTGACCGTTTGCAAATGTGATTGTTGCAGGTGTTTTACCCTAATATATAAAGCTAGCTGAAAAATTCACCTGTCCGGTCAGAATCTATTGGGCTGTGTAATGGTAACTGTCTTGTCTCTTATAGCGAAGCTGAACTTCCATAATTCTCAGCTTTTTCAACGACTGTCCCATGAATTGTTGCCCAGAGTTCCTGAGCTCAGGCCGTTTGAGGTCACACACTACGCAAAGTCACTGGGCTTCCTCAAATGGCTCCACATTCCTCTCTTTGAGGCCTTTGCTGAGGTAATGTTCTGTGGCGGGGTCCAAATTCAGGAACTGGTCCTCGTGGGCCGGGTCCTTTGTGCACCGCGAAAACCAGACGAAAGTGGCTGGAAAGTTGGATGATCTAGCCTTCAGCTGCATTCCCACCCTTACCACCAGTTTATGTCTTGTCACAACCGTGACGGTGCTAAATAAAAAATGAAGATCGAAAATAGATCGAAATTAGCAAAAGGTTAATATATTAATATTATAAATTAATGAAATTAGCTTAGAGGCAATGCATGAAGAACTAAATGACCCACCATTAAGGTTGGACAAAAACTTTGGGATAAATCTTGTGCCAAAAGGAATTGAATTTGAATTGCTCAGATTGAATCTGAATGTGCATAATTTGAAATTGAATGCATTGGTTTGAAAATAAGTTTCACTAAACTGAAACTGAATTTAATGATTTCTATATGAATTAATTTGCTTTGAAACTGTATTTTGGTTTATTAAAAATTCAGTTTGACTACTTTCACTTTCAGTTCCATAATTCAGATTTTTGTGTCACATCCTGGTCCTTGAGAAAGCCAGGCAGAGTAATCAAACACAGATCCACAGATTTACGTTTTACTTTGAAGTTTCCCTTTGTATATAAC